CGGGGAGCTTGATGAGCTGCAGTTGAATCTGGTGGCCCCTGTGTGATTGTCGAGGCATCCGTGGACCGAGCGTTAGATTGTTTTCGCTGGGGAAGTACACGTGACGTGCTGTGTGATGGTTCTTGGCTATTGAAGTGGATCGACCGAATTGCTGGGCACGCAGGCATTGACTGTCCAACGGGCGACTGAGAAAGTGGCATTTGCGAAGCTGAAGGAGTTGGCTTACATCTGTCAGGAGATCAAGAATCTGTTGTTTGGCATCGTATTTACGCGCAATCTGATGGAAGGCACGGAATTGAGTGACGACCAGAAATAGTTTGTGGATACGAGTGCTGTCTGTGAGCGTCAACCGCGCAAAATATTGGACGACATGGACCTTGAGAGCATCGAGGACGGGTGAGTCTCTGGTTTCGCTGAATGTGATTCATCGGGTAGCACTTGTGATGCCCGCCTGGGCATAGTATTTGCAGCTCTGTGTGCGTTCCAGTGGCATTGTTTAGAAAGAGGGGGCTGGAATGATGTGGTGAGAGTGGGCAGGTGTCTCGTCTGATGCGCGTGGGCGTGTGTTGGGTTGTGGCCATTGCAGATACCTGGAGCTGAAAACAAGTGAGTTTGTGATGGGAACGGTGATGGATGCGGTTGTGAGTCAAGGAATGATCACGTCGACAGAGAAGGGACTGCAGTTGATCCGAGAGACACCCAGGGAGATAAAAAGAGCATTTGTCTGTTTGGGGACCAGGTTCGATTACAACAAGTGGAGATAACGTGCGGAGGGGCAAAGAATGCATCAGCGGTCTTCCTTCAAGGCGTTCCTGTAAATGAAGAACTCTAAACCCAAAACTCTACCCCTACCCCTAAACCCTATCTAACTCCTAATCCCTAAACCCTAGTCAACTAGGGTTTCCTTGGTCAAACTAATCATATATCCTAAACCATGATAGATATTAAGGGTTTGATTTCGGATATGGAATCACAATGTCCACAAATGTGGGGGTAGGCATAATAAAAATTATGCGGGGTCCTTAGGCAAACCGGTATAACTCTAAATCCCTATACCCTATACCCTATACCCGAATACCTAAAACACTAAACACTTTGGAGAGAGGTTGGGTGTCTCTGGGGTGAAAGAAAAGGTGTTGTGGCTTGTGTGACCTGTGGGAATGGTGAATGCCGCCCATTGTGAGGTTTGCAGCTTATTCTCTTTTGTCTCAATCCCCCTATGAGAAGAGTGTCTAGTACCTTGGTAGGGAAGAGTGAATGCCGCGCTGCTGGAAGGAAATCTACTAATTACACTTATCTAACCCCTAGGAAGGTTGAATACCACTAAGGGTGAAGGTATAAAGCTCTTAACGTGTGTTCACCCTCTTTGGGAGTGTCTTAAGACACTTGAAACCATCTGGGCTAGGTTGCTGACAAGGACTGAATCCAGAAGGGAAGGTCAACTCCCACAAGCTTGGAGTCGCTGACAAGGGCTCCAACCTGACATGGCTTAATATTCTTTGGTCTGAATTGCTGACAAGGGCTTATTGTTATGTTACTTGTGCAACTGGGTAATGGAGTCTCTGACAAGGGCTTCGTTCTCTAGTTCTTGAGGTCACTGAGCTAAGTTGTTAATTAGGGTTTAGTGTGCCTATATCCTATAAGGTACTGGATGAAACGACTTAACCCCAAGCCAAAACAAGGTGCAAATAGTAAAACTATGCTATTAAAAGATACACAGGGATACAAGGGATAAAAATAGACCAATAGGGGTTAAAATTATTGTCACATAAGTGTAAGGTAGGCCCCAAGGGTCAATTATGGATATTCCTGCAACTGGGGGAATCTTACCTTTACCCGGGATAAAATAGAGGTTTAACACTAGAAATTGACTGCTCCAAGGATATATATGGGTGCCCAAGGCTTAAAACAGTCTACTCAAGGTAAAAACCCTCCCTAAAAAGCAAATGGCGGAATCCAAAAGGGAGTTGCAGATCCTTCCACGAATGAGAGAATCTACCTTATTTGAGGATAAAAACAGTAGTGAAGGGCTTAAAATAGATTGACCAAGGGTATCTAGAGATTATAGGGGTTAAAATTAGTCAACTATGGGTCAAATTCTCACTCCCACAAAGCGTTAAAAGTGAGTCGCGGATATTCATGCGACTGAGAGAATCTTCCACTTCCCAAGGTGAAAATCTGCGACTCCCTTCAAATCCCTATGGGAGGAAATATTTACTCTTGGAAGATTATTCTTAACCCCTGAGGTCTATATGTAACCTGTGGGCAGTCTAGTTCGATCTTAAAATTTCAGTTTTGACCTTGTGAAGGGCAAGATTCTACCAATCGTGGATCAATCTGCGATCCATCATAATTCACTGTGGGAGTGGATAAATTACCCCTGGAGGGCTAATTTTAACCCTTCGTAGCTATATATATCTTTGCCCTTTCTGTTTTTCACTATTTCACCTTGTTTTCACCTTGGGAAGTGGAAGATTCTCAAATAAGGTAGATTCTCTCATTCGTGGAAGGATCTGCAACTCCCTTTTGGATTCCGCCATTTGCTTTTTAGGGAGGGTTTTTACCTTGAGTAGACTGTTTTAAGCCTTGGGCACCCATATATATCCTTGGAGCAGTCAATTTCTAGTGTTAAACCTCTATTTTATGCCGGGTAAAGGTAAGATTCCCCCAGTCGCAGGAATATCCATAATTGACCCTAGGGGCCTACCTTACACTTATGTGACAATAATTTTAACCCCTATTGGTCTATTTTTATCCCTTTTATCCCTTGTATCCCTGTGTATCTTTTAATAGCATAGTTTTACTATTTGCACCTTGTTTTGGCTTGGGGTTAAGTCGTTTTATCCAGTCGTGAAACCATCCGTGACTGCCTCTAAGGTTCTGCCATGAACTGTTGGAGGACCATTTTTACCCTGTAGAACCTATATTTAGCCCCTAGTTTCTCCCTAGACCCTTGTTCTTTCTTGTTTTCACGTCTAGACCCTGTTTTCACCCTTGGGTAAAATCTCTTTGTTTGGATGCAATAACTTCCACAACTGACCATAGGCAGGCTATTTTAAGGGATGTGGGAGGTTTCAAGGGCTCTAGACCCACTACCTCTCCTTGGATGCAATGTTTTGATGTGCTTTGGTGTTGTTTTGGCCTGCTTTGAGGATTGATGGTTTAGGGAGGTATGGGACCCGCTCAGGAAAGGTGGAGCTCAACTAAGACTTGGAGGTGCCCCATACCAACTGGATTTCTCAATCCATTGTTTATGTTAGTGTTTCTCATGCTTGCTTAGCTATAATTTCTCTGTAGTTTTCTGTGGGAATGAATCTGGAGTGGTTGTTAGTAGTTAGCTAGTAACTTAGGCTAATTAGCTGAATACTATCTCATTGTACTACGATAGTTGTTCAACTGTTGTTGCCTTGTCATTACCGCTACATATTGCTCGAGCAATTCTTGACTATTAGAGACCATGGATTGGTCTTTATTCTTATTAATGATGATATTAGCACTTTGCTTTGCCTTTGGAATTGAGGTGGATATGGCTTTTTGAGTCGGTGGTTGGATCCCCTCGAAATAGGACACAACCTCATTCCGGGCATCTTATAATACTATTGGGAGAAGATATACTATAAGCCGTGGTATGGGAGAATGATCGGGTAATGGTTCTACATAGTAATGAGAATTGATATTGCTAGAGTTTGGGCCTACAACTTGGTGGCTCTTTGGTGGTTACATATGAACCGGTGGTTGTCCCATTGGGTGCATTGCATATGGTTGTGAATACCATTGTGCCAATTGAGGGTTAGTATTGTAAGTTTGTTGAGGCCTTTGCAGTGGCCGGTTGTTAAACAAATTATGAGAAGGATTTGGAACAAATGAAGCTCCTGGTTCGGGCTCTTTTGGAGCCTTCCTACATCTATCGGTGGGATAATTGCCTCCGGAACTTCCACATGTCACCCCGGTTTGTATCCAACAAATTTTGGGGTCAATAGGGTGCATACAATGATAAGTAGGGCATGACACACCTCTTGGTTGAGGTTGACCTCCCGATTGATTAGTGGAGTTTGGGCGAAATTGAGGAGCTGCATATGGACCTTGAAATTTTGGCATTTGGCAAAATTGCTCACTATGGCCATATTGATTGTAATTCCTACACCAAATGTTGATAGGAAAGTTGTCGGTCTCATTTAAAGGAGGAGACATATGAGCGAATTTTGCACTAATAGCAATGGCAATTTGATCTCCAAGGCTCCTAATTGATTTCATGACATCTTCCTTGAAATCATCACTAGCTCCTCACATGATTATAAGGCTTCTCAATACTATAGCTTTAATTGGCTTTCAATCTATTCTAAAAGGTGCTTAAGATGTGAAAAAAAGTGCTAGGCAAAATCAACATGATATAGGCTTTAGATCCCAATTCAAACTAAAAACAAATAAGAAATAGATGGCTTATCACATTGAAGGGCATTTTTGCAATTATGAAAAAAAAAAAGAGATAAATTTGATATTATAAAGAATACATGGATATTCTTAATAATTTGGCAAATTTCATCAATATGTATATACTTTTTCATAAATAAAATAGCTTTAATAATAAAATATTTATTATTTTGTACTCTATGTACTGATGTCAAATATTTTATTTTTTAAAATTTTGATTTTAGAAATGATGAATGTAGTGGATTTACATCAAATATTGTAAATATAATAAAACATAGCAATAGAATTTATATCCTAATTTTTGTAATATATAACTTAATCATGCACCAAAGTTTTTATTTTTTTATAAATAATACATATAGTCTTAAAAAAAATGCATAAATTTAGGATTTTTTCTATTTGTTATTAGATTCCAAATTCTCAATCTTTAATTAATTTTTAGAGGTATAAAATCAATAATTTTCAAATTTTTTCCTTGGAATCTTTTTTTAAAAATTCTCAAATCAGCTTGCTCTAGAAATCTTGTTTTTAAATTAAGAAGTATTTTGAATGATTTCAAGGTTCATTAACAAGCCCCAAGTGGGTTTTTGTTTATTATCAAATTTTCTTCGATTGTATATTAAATTGTATACAGAAGAGAAGCTGAAAAAATAGATCAAAGTTTAGGGCGATCCCTTATTTGTACACCATTTAAAATCACCTGAACTGATACCAGAAGCCCTTGGCATTTAATGGGTGTAGGAATGGGGAACATGGCTAGATTAGGGAGAGCTCCCTCAACACAAAAAGGTGGTTTCGGGTTCTATATCCTACCGGTGTAACCTCCATTCCCATTGGTCTTTATTTCGGCGTATAAGTTTCACATACAAACAGACATTATACCAAACAGACACTCTATTTCACGCCGACCCCCTTTTCCCCCCGTCTACTCCGCTATAATTCTGGGAGCTGGAAACCACCGTCGGAAGCTGCGCCTCAGTTTATTTAAACTCATTGTTTGCTCATGTATCTTGTGGCCTCAAAACCCACAGTGGCCTCCTCCATGATGGCCTCCGTGATGGCAGCCTCCGTGGCCTCCTCCATGATGGCCTCCGTGATGGGCCGGCGCGTGATGAACCGGCGCGTGATGAACCGGCGCGTGATGGACCTGTGGATGATTGGCTGCCGGTTGCGTGGAATGCTGTCCGGCAATGTTGCTAGGGGGACCGACCTGTCCAGCAACATTAGTTCTACGTCGGCGGCTTTCTTCTGAGGAACTTGAATTTCCCATTGTATTACCGAGACCTAGTAAAGGGTAACACTTCGCCGGTTCTAGTTCCTTCCAAACAGTCTGGCCCATCACCAAACAACGAGTACATTTTGAGCACTGTAAAAGATAAAAGGGATCATCCCTTCACTTTCAGGAAAACTCTGTAATATTGGCTGTTTTCGCTTTGCCAATTGTGCTATCTCTTTTTCACGTGACAATGTGATAAATCTAACATTTCTTATTGCAAAAGAACATGTTAAGAATACAAAAATGATATCAGAAAAATTAAAACGTGAAGTGAGACGGCTGCAAACTACAAATCATGCAAGATCAGAGACTTCCCATACAGATCGAACACAGAGGCAGAGATTAATAATATACGTCTGAAATATCACGCAAATAAGATCTCTCAATGCAAAGAAATACCTTGCGGTCTGAGAAATTGGGGGCTCCTTCACAGCTTTGTGAAAACGATGGTTGCTTAAGAGTGTGAGTGTTATATAGGCTTTGAGCCTGATCACACAGTCTGCCATCCCTAAACCGACTATGTAGTCTATAAAATTTTAGTAAATACCTATGTAAGGGGATTCGTGTTGCGTGTTACAGGTGGAAATGGAGCTGTGCAACTCTGGTTAAATTACCTCCACACGCTTCCCCTTTCTTGAATACCGAGAACCGCCTCAGCTTATTCTGAGCAGATGCATGTGCAATTGTCATCCAATTATCCGGGCTGCGACACGTTCTTGAAAATATCTGCAGTATTCTAAGATAAAACTCTAGTGCTTTTGCCAAAAAAAATCACAGAACGCAGCAGCCAATGCTCTCAAAACGAACCTTGGCTAGTCTATCAGAATGTAGAACACGTGTGTTGTCACAGGCAGCCTGCACATGTTTACAACATTGTTTTCTTTTGTTTTTTTCGGTCTTTTACAACATGAGCGCCTCAGTATCAACCGGGTAAAAGAGGGTGACAGAATAGTATCACAGATATCAATCGAGAAATGCACAATGTAAAATCACTACGGATTTATTGTGTGTGAAGGTTCGATTTGACAACTTGAATTGTCTCACAAGTCAATCAAATACCACCGGATCTGTAAAGAAACAAGTGACCTTCACTAGCATGCCCTTCGTCGAAGTCTCGCCATAGACACTGATACAATTGGGGCTGTTTTCGACACTCTAAATTCAACACGTTTTGGTGAAGCATCAAAAAAGTGTCCAAAACTTGTGCACAGAGTAAAAGTGTCGAATATAGAGTGTAAAAAATAACCCCATTTGTACTAGTGAGAGGAGTACCTAGATGGAACATGAATGTTGATACCAAGGTGGGTCGCAAACATTCCAATTTTATTTCAAAATTGATTTTCTAACATAACATCTTCTCAAAAGGGACCCGTAATAGTGGAGTCTTTGAGTCTTGAGTCAATGATAATGAAGAGATTTCAGTGTAGTCACCAAAACAATGGCCTTCAGCACTAGCACTGGGTAGTGGATTAGATAATGAATTAGGTAATAGACCAATAAATTAGGTAATGGACTAAGCAATTCAAAAGCATGCAAAATTATGGGATATAATCATGCATTGGAATCCACTTAATGTGATTTACAAAAAAAAGTAAGTTAAAAATAAAATAAAATGTGAAATGTTTCGTTATGGACATGCTACTTTTACAAATTAATTTTGAAAATTCTACTCAAATCTTCTAAGTCTAAAATGTTTTACAGCAGTAAGTAGCATAGTCTACTTTGCAGTTCTTATTTAAATTCAACTTTAGTACCAAAAAAGATTAATTCCATGGCCAATTCAAGTGGACTAATCTTGTATTGCAAGGATCAAAGAAAACTTTTCTTTCTACTTCAAACACTATAATCTTCCAATCCACAAGATAAAAAATTCTTAAATTAATTTAAATTAATTTTATAATATATTTATTTTTATTTTTATTTTTGAGTTCTTATAATTAAAAAAAGAAAGAAAGATATAAGTATTCAAATGATAAAAATATCTACTAGTAAGTTGGTGCTAAGTAGGTATTCTATTCGCCTAAAAATTAAATATTTATAATATATTGACTTTACTTTAATAAAGTTGGCTACCTACTTGCTAAAAAGCATGTAGTTAGTTTATTTTTGCTATATATTGAGATTATTTAAGTTTTTGATCTTCTTAATTTTTGATTTTTTTAGATTTTAGAATTTAGAATTTAGAGTTATAAGGGTGTCTTTAGGTTTTTGACTCTCTTTATTTGAGATTTTGACTTGACATATCTTCTTCCATTTCATTTTTGATGTCTATAATTATAATGTTGTAAATATTTTGGTCTAATAATTCTCAGTTATTAAGATATATATAATTTGATTTTTTTTTTATAATGGTTAATTATTATTATATAAGAAAATTTTGAAAGTTTTAAAAATAATATTAGATCTATTTAAGAATTATCAATTATAAATATGTAGTTGAATTATTATAAATGTATATAGATTTGACAATATTAGATGTTTCATATTTAAGATTTTTGGATTGATTTTACAAGTGGATAAGAATTTTAAAGTTTGGATTTCATCAATCCTCTTATTTTGAAGATTTACAAACTACTGGTGGATTTAAAATCCTATATAATTTTTTTTTTAATTTTAGAATATAAGATTTTTGACTTGAAATAATTTTTATTAATTTTTATTGTACTTTGTCTTTTTGAAGTTTAAATTTGACCTTCTGCTATTTGACATGCTTGTAATTTTAACAATATATTTAAAGTTTTTAAAAATCAATACATAAAAATTTATTTGTATATGTGTATGAATTTTTGGTTATAAAATATCATATTTATACTACCTTTTGAATATATATATATATATATATATATATATATATATGTATACATATGATTTAAAACCATATTTTCTATATTCTAAGTCTATGCAAAGGATTATACATAGTTATGCCAATTTGCACCATACTCTTGAATGAAGTATCAAGTTCATTCAATACCATCTTTTTATACTCTTTCTTTCTTTTCACATGTAATATTATTGGTCTTCTTTAATATTACTTCATCCACATATCTATCTATCACCCTTTATAAACAAATTAATATGCATTGTGAAGAATTTCAAAGATGAAAAGCCAAATATTTGGATCATCTTGCTTCCAACCATTATAGAAAAATTGTTCATCTTGTACAAATACTAGTTGACTAGCTTAGATATTTCTCTACTCCCTTGCTTGTTAAAATTATTACTCTATATACTTGCAATACCATCCTATTGCTTGTTTAGTAAACATCAAAGTATTTTTGACTTAAATAGAAGATACATATGAATTTCTTTGATAAATCTTATTTGCCAATGTTACTAAATAATTATGGCATGTTTAAAAAAAATCTTTTTAAACATCCTCTTTACATATCAAAAAACCTCTTATATCTCTTTCTATACTAAAATTTAGGATTTAAGAATTTAAAATTTATAGGTTAGGATTTATGAATTATGTCATAGATATACATATTTATCTAGATAAGAAATATTAGATAGAAGATAAATATAGGTAAATTTGGTATTATCTTGTAGTCAAGCTTCTTAAAAGTTTTAAAAATGCATATTTGATTTTAAACATGTGTATACTTGATTGATAAGTTCAAAACTTGGCTAATAAGCTAGTTGTGTATTATATGTATTGATAGTTTGTAGTACAAGCTAAAAATGTAGAATACATATAAAAAACTACGTTATAAGTTAAGTCATAAGTCTTATAAAGTCAACACATGTTGGAGGTCCTATAGAATATCACTACATAGCTTCAAATTAGATAATATATATAGAAGTAAGAATAAAATATTCTTTATTCTAGTCAATTCTTTTCGTACTTCTAATTTAGTTTTAAGGATTTTTAATTTTTTTGTCTTTTGGCAATCACTATTCTAATTTTTTTAATATATATATATATATATATATATATATATATATATATATATATATATATATTATTTTGTCATCTTTTAAAAAAAAATCTCACTTGTTTATTTTGCCTTCATCAAGTTCTTATTATTGATAGTTTGACAAGAATCCTAACTCATTATTTTTGTATTATTTTAGATTATCTTTTTTAATTTTATTTATAGATTTATTAATTTTTTTAAAATAAAATAAAAAATCATAGATGCTATATTTGATAGAAGTGAAATTAGATTTGCAACTATTGTAGACCTTCACAAAGTTGTTAACACTCTTAAGATGGAATTTTTATGCATCACCACTTCGAATTTAAAAAGTACTATTCTTTTATTTATAAAAAAGTCTAGAGTCTACTCCAAAAAGTTGTGCAATTGAGGATAATAGGCAGATCTCACTTATAATCAAATTCAAAAAGTCTTATTTCTACAAACACAAAAGAAGCAAGGATTAGTATGCTTGAGAAGTTTGATATAACAAGATCAAAATTTCAAGGATTTCTACAATAAATTAAGCTCTATTTAAGTTTGCATCCTTTTCAATATCTTCATGGATTTACTCAAGTTGGGTTCATAGATGCACCTTTATTAAAAAGTACTCTTTCTTCATTTGCATCTTTGATGGAAAAAGATTCATGACCTTTATGACTTGAATTCATTCCTAAAATTGTTTATAGATACATTTAAAAAAATGATTAGAAAAAAAGAGAATAAAAACCAAGTTCTTATTTTTACAACAAAAATCATAATCAAATACCATATATATTGTTGAATTTTAAAACCTTACTTGTAACATGGACTAGAATGACAAAGCTCTTATCAATGAATTTTAATATAGATTGAAGGATAACATCAGAGATTTATTATTAATAATGCCAAAAGTACAATGACAAATCCTTTATCAATCAACTTAGATATGATTAAAGGATAATATCAAAGATTTTTTATTGACAATGCAAAAGGCAAAATCTTTGAAATAATTTATTACATAAATAATTGCATGCAACAATCAAAGATTTGAAAGATATCAAAAATAAAGACTTGACTAAAGAAAAACAAATCAAATATTGATGGCAACTTTCAAGTTTTCAGAAACTTATTTATCAAGGTATAAACTAATGCAAATTGATACAATAAATTTTATACTAATTACGAAATAGGAAAAGACTCAATGACATTAAGAAGGCTTATGCTTATATTGTGAAGCTAAACTTACTATTGAATATTATTCAAAGAAACAACACAACCACAAGATGAAAAGCATGGTTGCCAAAAAAGATAATATATTTGAAAACAAGTTTTTCAAGCTACTATAAGGACCATGCAATTGGAATCCTACATAATCTCTAATAAAGGTCTTATTTTCTCCTCAAATTACTCATCTTATTTTATAATATAAATTTATTTAGGACCAAAAATTACAAAGTCTTAACTTTATTAGATTCAAGAATTTGAGATTATTTTGTAGATAAAGATTTTTTTAAAAAATAAGAAATATTGTTAATGAAAAAAACTAAATATGTACATATAGAAGTCATAGATGGTTGTTTGCTATCTTCTAGAGATGTTACGCATGAGACTATTCTTTTAGATGTAGCAATTAAATATAATAATAGCATACTAATATT